GTTTTAGTTCAACATTTCCAAATATTTACATTAGATCTGAGCACGGCAAGGATTCAAAACAATTACAATGCAATAGAATCAGATTTCTAAGAAAATCATATGAACATCATATCCACAGGACATCACATTATCTTGTACAATGGTCACCATAAAAATTATTCACAACAAATAACTTGTGATTGATGAACAACACAGCCCCCATCTCAAATAGAAAAAATGGATAGCTCTTACCAACCATTGCAGACAACACCAAGTAAAGAAGAGGATTAGTATTCTTAAGCCACTCGTAGTATTGACCACCATAAGGATCACCTTGCACATGAGTACGAGAAATTGTGCTCAAGGAGCAAAATTTTTTACTAAAATAGAGAACAGATCTAACAAACATCATACATAAGGGATTCATCTGTGATGTTCAATCAATTGGATGTAAATGGTGCAGTTGTAGAAGGCATGAGAAAAGGATGATGTGAGATGAGAGAGCCACGCCTTAAGAAACTGACGCATATGCTAAGGCAAGCACATAAACACACACACCAAACAGAACAAAACCAAGCCCTAATACCTATTGTTGCCATAGTTTCCCTAAATTATAGGTACAAAGTCATCCAGATTATCAGCGAGCAATATAGAGTTGCATCACTAAATCTTCTTCCTACATAAGATTTAAGATGAACCAAATCAACATAACTCTAACTTCAACGAGCATTTACTACATGATAATTCGGCATCTAAAAGAAAACTTTCTTTTATATTGTACATTGTACAGATTATAAATAGGCAGAGGAAATACATAATAGAAAATCTTCAATATCACGATTTGCACTGATCTTCCAGTCCATTTTGAAAGGTAAAATACAGAAACACATATGCCATCTATAGAAGACTAACATAGACAATTGCACATATAAATCATTCCATACACACCCTGTCCAATCAAAATGTGGAAGTTTAGCGGTTCGAGCTTGGCCTTTCTTTAAGCAATACAACCAACCCCTTTTAAGGGCTGCAGAAGTTTGATCATCTGATGCATCAGCTCTAAGTGGTTGGGACTCTATACGCAAGTGGACTGACTTGTGCGAGCTCCATGCTGCCTTGAAACAATCCTGAGAACTGGCATGCAGGAACATTCAAATATGCAGAAATAAGTACATGACTAGCTCAGCCTGGCTTCCCAGGGAAATTAACTAAGACCAAATTAAGTAAATGACGAAAAGGAAAGGGTGACTACAGATATTGAAACAATTAACCAGCAATATACTACAGTTTCCAAGTTCCAGTTCCAGAGAAAATTTGGAATGAGATAATATTCATTGAGAGGGGGACAATTGACAGAAAAAGGAGATTCATCTAATGTTATTGCATGGGCCAACAGAAGATCTCCAAACCTTGGCAATTGGCAAATATTTTTCACTAGATTCATGAGAACAGCACAATTTTCAAACTAGATATTTTAAATGCGTGGAGGGAGTCTAATAAACTTGCAGACTTACTGACACGGGAGGGGATCCTTGTTCCTCACTACTGGTCTCCCCATTTCCATTGGAAGAAGTAGCGATTCAAACCCAGTTTTCTAGATTTCATTGATTTGAATATTTTCACTCAAATTTGTCATAATCACAGAATGAAACTTGCTTAACGACTAAAAAACCAGATTGAAATCAGTGGAAGAAAGTTTGCAGGTGCCAACTAAGATCTAGAAAGCCGAATATCAACACCTATATATTTTGAGACAAAATAACAAGGCCCCAATCTAGGAAAAAGCAAGGAGCACTGAACAACATGATATCCAAAGAATGATTAGCGTAAGTTCCAATAAGGTATGAGTGTATCTGGCAATGTTGATTGAAAGATAAAACCATTGAAAAAAAAGACGATGACGGAAATGCTAGTGGCTACATCTTGAGATTCAAAATGGGCGTTAAAGTGAGACAAGAATGGATATAGAAGATAATGACTTTTATTATGATAATACAATATATAAAGCAAGTTTTATGGGGAGGGGAAAAAACAAAGTTACAGAGAGGGAAGTAGCTCCCGATGCACCATTAATACGACTCCAAATTGCATGTGTCCTCTTTCATCACTCACATGCAGGTTTTCATGTGTAACATATTCTAGTTGATGACATTCATTTCAGCTAACTATTACATTTTTCATACTACTGTATTTTCAGGAATAACAAAATGAAGCTTCAGAAACTCATACAAACCAGAATGCAGCATCTCCCCGAGGTAGCTTCAATTCCACACATTTAGGACATCTGCATGCAGATAGACAAGATGAATAATATACTCATGGTTTTTATAGAAAAGAATATTATGCATGAACAAATAAGATCAATCAGATCTACATGTTAGGAAATGTTCATTATGGTTAAAGATTTTGAACATAATGACTTAAGTACATAAAATATATCGCTTATATAAGTACGTACTGAAGATGAGCTGGTTTGCCACAACGAGCACAAGACAAACTTGATTCTTTTGTGATGTTTGAACCTTCATCCATTTGATCGAATCAACAGAAAAGCTGACAAACTAAAGAAGAAAAAAACTTAAGCTCAAGTAACATGCATATAAACATGTTTTGGTTGGAGAAAAACCTAGAATAACACCTCCACAGCATAAGTACGTGAAAAAAAAATTATTATGGAGCTCCACAGACACATGGCATGTAATCTGAAACAAATTCCAGTACATAGATGCGCATAAATATTATGGTCCACAAGATAATTAGCTGAAATTTGAATATGAGTACTGCAGTGGATTTACCATGAACCAATGGACATGGAACTGCAGCCTATATGATAGACACTCCAATGATAGTCAAATATATCTTGATAGTCAAATATATCTTTAACAGAAAAAATGAATGTCATAGCAACCACAATTAACAAGATAAGCTCCATATCACCATACATGAAAGACAAACATTTTCTCTTCCATATCACCATACACGAACAAGTACATTTTTTTTTTCGAAATTTCAATAAAAACTAAAAAGAACAGACAGAAGTAGGTAATAAGGGGAGAACTCTAAAGCTCCTGATGCTGCCTCATACACTCAATTGTGTTCTGTCTTCATAAAATCCTATGAATCTCTTACTCAATTGACAATATACCAACAAACTGTCAATTCTGGGCATTCCTGTGAGTTTCCAGCATCATGACATGAAAACATATATAAATGTGTTTGCAAAATTCAACCTTTGTCCTCAACTTCTTCACCACCCCCCTACAGTATGTGATCAATATCTGTCACTTCTTTGCTTGTTGAGAAATCACTAATCCATTAGTCATGCACCCACCTCTTGCATTTTCCTTTAATATTTCAAAAATAAATCATAAGAATAATAGGTCACACGTTCCCTTCATTTGATATTGATGATGCACTTGATCATTAAAGAATATTTGTGAGTGCAAATGTATGTGTATTTTGTCAGTTTAAATATGGGCAACAAGAAAACGAATACTTTCACTATTCAGCAACTATATAAGTGGATTCAATCAGTTTTCAGTTCAAAATACATGAAGTAACATTTTCACCATTAAACAACCATCATCATCATCCGAGTCTTATCCCAATTATTTGGAATTGGCTACACGAATCTTGTTCCGCTATTCCACCATATATCTTCTCACTACTTCCATACATGTTCTTTTGAGCCTTTCTCTTGCCCTTTTAGAGCCTTCCACTTGAACTGAATCACCCCTCCTAATCGCTGCTATTCTAGGTTGACGCTACACATGGCTAAACCACCTAAGTTAACTTTCTCTCATCTTATTGCTTATTGGAGCAACCTCTAAGTTCCATTGCATGTATTCATTCCGAATTCTATCATTTATTGTCTTGTCACTCATCCATCACAACATCCTCATCTCAGCCACTCTATCTATAAACATGTTGTTTCTTGAGCGGCCAAATTCCCTCTCATAAAGCATAGATAGTCTTAAAACCGTCCAGTAAAACTCCCCCTTCAGTTTCTTGACTGCCCAAAATTCCTCTCCTTCACTATTTCCCATATTATTGCAGCTATAGAAAAGCAAAGATACATGGGCTCAACGATAACTCCTGATGCAGGCCTTCCTTCAACGAAAACTAACTTGTCTCCCCACTAGTTGTCCTCATACTAGTTACCGCTCCCTCGTATGTATCTCTCACTATGTAAATATATCCCCTAGAAACTGATTTCTTTTACAACACCGACCAAATTAACTCTCTAGGTACTCTATCACATGATTTTTGTAGATCAATAAAGGCTATATGGAGGTCTTTTCTCTTCTTCCTAAACTTCTCAATCAATTGCCTAAGTAGGAAAATAACCTCAAGACCTCCTTGCCACAATGCGAACTGATTTTTTGATAGACACATTTCATGTTGTAGTCTCAATCATTCTCTCCCAAAGTTTTCATAGTGTGGCTCACAAGTTTGATTCCATGATAGTTCATACAATTCTATATGTCTGATTTGTGTTCATGTAAATAAATACCACATTTTTCGTTATTCATCTAATATTTTCTTTCTTCTTAAATCTTGTTGAACAACTTAGTCAAATAAGGGAAATGACATGATAGAGATTCTTGCAGCAACAAACTGGAGCCTCAAGATTAGCTACTAGCTCTTTTCTTTTTTCTTTTTTTTTTCCCTCTGAGGGAGAGAGATATACAAATAACTCACAAACACTAAGAATTCATTCACAAAACGTCAAAGAGAAAAATCCTTGATTCAGAGAAATAGAAATGATCTTTTTATATACAGAGATGGAGATCAAAAGAGGAGATGAATGAGCTTCACTGCCATAACATAAGCAGGGACATCATGTTGAAAGTTAAGAAGTTAACGAATTTAACAAGACGAATACACAGTAAAGCAAAAATATGGAGAAACTGAAAAGGAGATTCTCTGAAATTTACTTACATGCCTAGGTCCTAGGGTTCAGCCAAAAAGACCGTACAATCGCCTGGTAGAAAAAGGTTTGGAAATTGTCTGATACTTATAGGGTTACCAGAGGGTGTTGGCCGCTTCTTTGACCATGTGCAAGACACAGAAACGGAGAAGACAGGTACACACTTTCGGGGAAGTATACGACGAGACCATTTACGTTTGGTACTAATCTTGACCATTCGACAGGTCACAACTAATCTTGACCGGTGGATGTGGAATTGAGTGGTAACATTTATTTTATTGAACAAACTGAAAGTTTAATTTTTATTTTTTTTTATATTTTATTTATCACGTGGTTATAAATTATTGTGACCTTTTTATACTAAATGTAAATGATCTTATTGGATACATCCCCATATTTTAAGCTTCGGAGCCTAATATAAGTGCTCTAACAACGTGACATAGAAGAGAGAAGAAAACATAGGTGGGAAGAGAAAACATTCACGTTTCAAATTTAAATGAATATAGATCATAGTTAGCAAGTTGGGGATTATCAATAAATCGGCTCACCATGAAATCGAAAACTAATTATTTTTATTTAAAAAAGTCAGATAAAAAAATCGGATAAAAAATATGAATTGGTAAAAATACTTAATGTAAAGAGATCATGAATCTATTGGACTATGCTCAAAAAATCGGAGTCAAAAAATTGGATATATTTAAAATATTCGAAATTTTAAATACATATAGCAATGATTTCATGAAACGGTTGCATCATAATATAAAGCAACAACCTTCAAAAACCATGTTTTGGCTATTCGTTTGATCCAAAATTTGAAATATACACTCTTTTCATTCTAATGAACAATCACAAAAAAAAAAAAAAAATTGAAAACACAGCCTAGAAAGTATTTATTTAGCCAATTAACATAGGCCATTCATTTTGGTGAGATACTTAGATCTAGGCCTTAGAAGGATTTTTCATTTCCAATCTTTTGGATGACTCTATTATCATTAGATGAACAATATTAAAAAAGAAAAAAATGATTTGAGTTTATAATAGCTAAGATCTTGAACTTCACTAAATAAATGGTCTAGATTTGTTTTTGGAAGAGACTCATTTTAACCAAATTTAATTTATTTTTTTTTGGGATTGATAATTGAGATGAAGAGAGTGTGTGTGTCAAAGTTTAGGTCATACAAATAACACAAACATGGTTTTCTAGAAGTATATATATATATATATATATATATATATCAT